ACACTGGGCGGCATAGCCTCCGGGCCATGTAGATAACTCCTCCTTCAGACTTTCTGTACGATGGCAATAAATATTGTTTTAGTATTACGTCCCCTATCGTGTAAGGAAGGACTCGGGACGCTACGGTTACACCAATATTAATTTATTCAATAGGTAGTACGATCGTTTGAGAGTAGTCACTGTAGTACTGAAGTGATCCTTTCATCGTAAAAGCGTGTAGTTCAGCAACTTTTCAAATATACTTTAATTACCATTACAAACCTTAATTAAACTGGACATGGGGCAATACATGCTAAAGAATGTTAACTGCACACCGCCTTTAATCGAAGTACTTTTGAAACTCGTTTTAAGATCAAAAGAGAAAGCATTTACTAGCGCGATAAGCAAAGCCCTACTAACTATGAAATATCCGGAAAACTTTGTCAAATAGCACTGTTATTATAAGAAATGTTCATTTGAGGTAGGATTTGAAGAAGGCGGGGGATTTCAGTAAGTTGGTCGATAAGTGTCGAAGTACCCAAAAGCGTGGCAGTATAACCGTGAATACATGAAAACACATTGTTAATCTAAAGACCTATTCATTTCAACTCAGAGGACTTTCACCCGAATTTGGGCTGGCGACTTAAAAGGTGCTCTTACAGCTGAATACCAAGGTTCCGGACAATTTAGAATCCTGTTCATGTGTGGGGATTAGGGCTGGGGTTGAAATAAGCAGAGATTTCGATATTATCCTCAAACCTGCAAATTCAGCTTGGGTTTTTAAACAACACACCATCTTTTGAGATGCAAACGTTCCGAGCAAGACGCATTAAGTTCTAGGTTTTCACGGCAATTTTTAAGAGACTCCAGGGTAGAACGAATAGCGCCAGGCGCCCAATGAACCATCGTCCATAAATTATGTAAAGTTGGACGCAAATAAATAGCAAGGTGAAAAATTGTAAATTCAATAAAAATTACAGAGTTTCAGAGCAATTAAACGGGTTTCAATTTCCAAGAATTTCTACGAATGGAGGAAACTTCGATATTCAAATAATTTCAATCCCCAAGGCCGATGTTATCAAAGCCTGTAGCATCCACTAGGTAGAGTTGCTCGTTCAAGAGCATGTAAAAACACCCAAGAGAAACAAGATTTTTAGATGAGCTTACCAGAATGCAGTTTTCAATGACTTTCATTTTGGAGGATTCCACAGTGATATCTTGACATATCTCGAAGCACCCCATGGGACTTGTGGTGACCGGGAAAGAAAAGGCCAGCCCCGCTGGCACGCTGTAGTGCCCTAGGCAATAATTAAGTGACTTGACAACCTTGTGAGCATGGAGATACGTGGAAGGGTATCAGGCCACAAAAAGACAGGATGGTTCATACCATAATAAAAAATGAAGAAAATAGGGGGATTTGGGCATAATCTTTTCACTGGATACCTAAGGCCATCTAATTTTGTTTGTTATAACCTAATTCAGAAAAATTATGGTTAATATCCTCAAGTAATGTCTAATTCTGGAGCTTACTTGTAAATAAAAGATTTACCAACGAATTAAACTCACCCGTAGAGGAGAGAACCAAAGAAGTTATGGTTTCGTTAGGATCTTTGTAACCGAACTGCCACTGTTTAATGAAACTGAAAATTGCAGAGGCGTGACGCATCGCCGCTGTATTCGTGCCGGGCCACCTTGACCTCTCCAACTTCTCGGGTATTATCCTTTCATATAGCTCCCTCAGGTCGAAAACCAGCGGTTCTGCTGCCAAACTGAACCATGCAGGACCTGTCTCACTGTCCACTGCACCATGCCTCCGGTGGACGCGTGCTTGAGAGATGTCCACGAGGAAAACATTGTCAATGTTGCCCCAGATAATAAGGTCCACAATGTCGCAACGACGCACGCCCAGACGTCGTGCCAATGCCGACTTCATCGAGTACTCCAGTGCGCGCGGCAGTCCCACGATATTGTTTAGGGGAATATTCTCTTTACAGGCCATATGCAGCGTCTGAACATCAAAGTTCAACGGCGATGAGATCGTTACCGCACCTTCAAATGTCTGCTCCGAGCCTACCACTAATACTCGAACGTTTTGATCTGCGTACTGACGAATGCACTCTCCGAGCCGATAAAAGTAATGGAACCGGCGATCAAGCCACTCTGATCGAGCCTCCGAGTGTTTTAAAGTGCCATCAACACAGATGGGGTGTTCACGTGGTATTACGTCAAGGATAACTACCAGTGAAGCGTTCTCAAGTGCCTCTGTAAGATTTACGGAGGTTTCGACAGCCTGTAGACCGATGCAAGCCGAGTCATCAAGGATTTCTTTCAGTCTCACGACCGCGTCAGAGTGGACAAAGCTCCCGGGGAAGAGATGGAGCTTCACTTTTTGTGCTTTGCTGCTATGTTGCATCATGGCAAGGAGCATAGCAAGGCGCACGGCTGTTGGCGATTCGGCTCCGATTATAGCGATTTTGCGCCAGGTATTGAGCATCACTTGTTTGATCGATCTAGCGGCGATGGCCTCGTCCGTGTAGCGCTGGTTGTCGATGCTGATCTGTAAAAGCTTATGACTCGATAATCTGGATAGCATGGCATAGTAGGTGTTGGCATACTCCTGGAAGTCTCGCGCATCGCCGATGAGAGTCACACGCCCGCCAGTGTCCACTAGCTCGCGCCAGACTATCGGCGAGGGCATTTTCGACCAACCACGCTCCCTCGCAATTCTTTCGGAATATTCCTATGCGATAAAGGAAATAAATGGGTTGCATGCATGCGAAACCTACATCCCACTCATTTGGTGGTATGACCACCTTAGTTAGGAAGAAATCAGGTAAACTACGCTGCATCTTGTCTCCCAGCATTTCACATGTCGCGTAGAACGGACAGTCAGAGGCGCCTAGAGAATATTGAAAGGCAATTTTATGCGACTAGAAGTCGCTTAAAAGCATACATGAAACTGATGTTGTTATAAATTATGGGCCATATGTGCGGTTTAGTAGAACTCAATGCATCAATGGACCCCATAGCACATAAAATCGGCACATGTTTTGTATTTAAGGCAATCCGTTGTAAGACAAAAAAAGTAGTAATCATAGTTCTAGGGAAATACGACTTATGGGTTGTGATGAGCATCTCTACACATAAGAGACAAAATTGAAGAGAAAAAAGACTCGTCTAAACATACGAGCGCCATCAAAACACGTTAGGACTAAAAATAAGGCCAAAAAAATTGCACCAAGTCTGCCAATACTTAGCCTCGCCATTGTGAAAGAGTCTGGGGAAATTACTTTAAATTAATAACATAACAGGTGTCACTTATCAGATTATCGGGTTTCTGTTAAAATAGCACCATTAAAATTTCCACCAAAGGCTTGTCTTTCCCATCTGGGCTAACATAACCTTTGTTAGGTGGTTTGCAACATTGGAATATCACCAAAAATCACCCGCAATAACTATCTTGGCCATTTGAAAGTGCGCCGTGGCTTAAGGTTCTCGAAATGTATATAAGCCTTGTGAAATTCATTCATTAAAATTACCTCTATTTAGGCGCCAATTTTGTCCAATTATAAATATATTACCATATTTAGTTCTTTACTATGCAGACGTTGTTATAGCAACAGCTTGGCACTAATAGGAAGAATTCTACCATGGATGACAACAGGATACTTTGGATAAAACAGCTTGTATATCACAGTTTCAATTTAAAGTCAGATAAAATATTCTGCGATTTTCTGACTCGAGAGGATGAAATTAATCGTTATCATCTAGAACACTTCTTGAATGGTACCCCAGAAACTTCAGTGACATCGATCCAGTTTACCATTAAAACCACTCAAGAAACAATATTTGAAGAAATTAAAATCTCTTCGGAAAGCAAAGGTTTACCGAATTTCTTGGTTTGTTAGTTTTAGATGATTGGACTGGTTCCAGAGACATACCAAATCATTCACAACCTGATGTTTCAGACAATCACAAACCAAATCCAATCGATGGTCACGAAAGCGATATTGTTCGACCAGAATCCAATCTGCCTATGCCGAATGACTGCCTGACATCAACTCAAACTGTATTTAGTCTATTGCTGTATCATCATTCTTAAAAGAAACTCATTCCTAGAGAAATTATAAGCACACATTTGGATGCCACGTATGGCAAATGCTGCTTCAAAGATCCACATGTTCAATATCTATGCCTTTTGCGTGTTAAAGATGGCTTCATTGAAACTTTTGGTACGATTGAGGAGGCTTTTAAGGTTATGCCTTCATATTTTGAAGTCTTATTTGTTTCGGGAAATTGGTTATACCAGCTGCGCTCAATTTTGACCAATGTTTATCTCAACTCCCTACCTATGATTAGAAAAAGCTCACCTAGTAATAAACTAAAACGAACAGCTGTTTACCGAAATGATGAATTTTCTTTGAAATACCACAAGTTCTTGCAGGTTGTTTCTGAATCCAGTGAGCTTTTGAATTCCACTACCGACTTTACAATCCCTACAATTGACCTTGATGGCGATGAACATACCCTTCTTCAAAATGAAAGTGTCACGAGTGTAATTGAAGCAACTGTTATTAAATGGGGTTATAAAATGCGGGAAATTATTGAAGAATTGAATACTCGTTCAACTCAAGGTGAGGGTCCGCTTGCAGTAGTTGAATATTGGCGAGGTCGGGCCACCTCACTATCCCGCTTGGTTGAGCAAGTAGAGCAACCACATATCAATCGCGTTCTGAATCTTTACGCGCTAAAGGAAAGAATTCCACCACAGTCGGTGTTTGAAATGCTGCATCGTTGTCATTCTGAGGCTACTGATAATATCAAGTAGGTGCATAATTTAAGCGACATCCTATCACCTTTCCAGGTTACTCGCACTTGCAGAAAGATACTTCAAGATTATAACCTACTGCACAGAAATCGATGACATCATCGAATCACTATGTCCACTAATGCAGGCTTTACAAATGATATGGATAATTTCACCCTACTTCAACAAAGAAGACAGAATGACTGTCATTTTCGAACGAATTGCCTGGTGCCTATGCAGTCGTGTCTCACGTATGCTGACTCCATCGGAGTTATTTAAGTAAGCACAACAAACAAACAGTGTTTACGTACCTAGTTTATCACTACAAAAGATTGAAGTTCGAATTAAATGTGGAAGGAAATTGTTGGAAAGTTGGAAATCCACTTACATGACCCGAAGGGCAGACATTGAGGCTTCTGGTCGTGAGTACCGTTGGGAGTTTGATAAAAAACGTTTGTTTGCCAAGAGCGACTACATGGTTGGTGTTTGCAGTGATATGGAAGAGGTAGTTAATATCGTAAAGGAGTACAAAACTATGTTTGGTCCTGAAATTAAAAGTGTGTTTTCGGAACAAAAGCACTTTGACTTGCTAATGGAGAATGTTCTGAGACTTCTGGAGGCATTCAAATCGGTAAACAAATGTGTTTGGTGGAAGAGTTTACTCTGAATATGCAAGCATTTACATATTTTTTGCCACTTTAGCTGCAATTTGATCCACTTTTAATTGAAAACAAATCAAAATGGCGCAGTCAGATGAGACAGTTTCAGATGGAAGTAATGGCACTTGATACGGATGCTAAGAGTTGTTTGGAGGATTCCTTTCGCACCTTGCACTCGTCTGACAAAGCTTTTCAAGTGTTACAGCGCCTTTTGGAGAGCCATCCACGCAAGGACATCGCCCGACTTTTCGAGGAGCGCTACACCGACATTCTCGATCGATACGACAAAGAGGTGCGTCTAATCGAGACCACCTTCACCGAGGGTTCGTCAGACTCCGGCCACTTTGCCGCTGTTTTGGGTCCTCGCTATTTACCTCCTGTCGCTTCATCCATTTGCTGGGTTCGAAACCTTCAAGCTCGCATCACCTCGCCGATGTTGAAGATGGTAAACATTAGGCGTCTCATGGAAAGTGACAGGGGGCAAGAGGTGCAGAACCACTATCTCTGTCTCGTTCAACGCATGACTAAATTTGAGGAGGACCTCTTCGTTAGATGGCGACAGCAAGTGCATGACAGTTTGGGGCGTCTTATGGAGAGAAATCTCTGGAAGTACACTGAGAGTTCAAAACCCACCTCCGTTTCTAAGAGTGGTCATTCAGGGAGATTGGACGCACCATTGTCGAAACGGGGACCGGCATTTGGTCGAGAGCTTCCAAAGCAAAGCCAATCCCTGTGTAAGAAATAACGTGGTTTCCATAGTCGTTTGGGGCGCGGGAAGATCTAGGTGGTAGATGTTAAATTTAAAAAAACTGTTTTGAAGAGATGCTACTTGTTGAATTTCATGTTCATTAAGTATCATGTCAGGCAACGGAGTTAAGTTTTTACAAAAAATTCCTCTGTAAACACACCCAGCCTCTAGCTTATCGTTCCTTGCCAGACAAATTCAATTTCGAAGTGGATTTCGGTGATGAATTGGTACAAATAATTGAGGAAACAAAGTCACTTCAAATGCTTGGTTTCCCGGTTCCTGACATGGCCTGCTGCATCGCCTTGAGAGTGAGTGCTCCTCTGCAGTTTTTTGGATTGGATGTATTTAAGGCCTTTATAGCTGATTTGATGTTTTTTTTGGTGGTAAAAAGTAAAACTGATTGCCTTGAAAAGGTTTATGTAATTCAAAGTAAGGTGACTTATTCGAAGCCACTTTTACGTACATGACGAAATTAAAAAAGAGTATTATAAGAATGGTTTAAACATGAGGAATATTCACTCTTGTTGTCTGATTTCAAATAATATTTACACCTATTCTTTTGTCTTGTCACTCATCAAATTAGTCCGATTGCAGAACTCAAAGTGCATCAAGTGGGAGACATCGCCTATTCGTCGCTGGAGCGCATTAAACTCATCAAAAATTGACTCACATGGGAATGTTGGATTGTAATAAAAGCAAATCAAGGTTTTTACATTCCCCTAAAACCTAGTTATCCTAAATTTTTGTGTGCCATCAAGTGACGAATAAGTGGAGAAAAATTTACTGCGTCCATTCTCACACTTGAACTTCGAATTTTGATGTGCTTTATAACAATATCCCACGTAGGATTAAATTTTTGCTGTTTCACCTGTAAAAGCGATTATCTATTCTTTCATTTAGAAACGCCGTCCTCCATACATTTAGGGTTTCATTATAAAGCAAACTCTGTTAAAGTTTATGAATCGTCTACTATAAATTCTTAAAATGAATGAAATGGCATCAATTATTCTTTGCATCAATCCTAAATTTTAAGTGGGTTTCAAGAATAAAGCTCATTATTTTAACTAAATAAGGCGAATTTTGGAAAATTGCCAAGTTTCAGGTACACAAAAAATATATACTGTGCACCAAATTCGTAAATTTACAGCCCTTACATGTAACGAGTGTCAGTGGACCATTTTGATTTCACAGGAAAAGGAACTCCTCCGCAAACGAAACGATCTAAGTGATTTGGCCGAGTTGGTGCGCACCACTCTGGGTCGACTCTCCACAGTAGAGCTGGTCACACTAGAGGATCACATCATGAAACTGCAAGCTGCTTTGGCTCCAGCCTGGAAGCAGTTAAACTGGACTAGCCTCATCATTGACCGCTATCTAGTTAAGGCCAAAGAGGCCTTTGATCACTTCTGCGGCGTGCTTCGTGTTGTGGATAAGACGAAGGCAAAAATGGAGGCCAACTTAAATGACATAGCAAAGGCGTCGCTGTTCCGCACTTGTTCTTCGAAATTAACCGAGCCGAGCTCTTTGAAGGTAGGCGAGTTTATATGACAGTGTTGCTTCAGAGCTTGCAAATTCAATCGAGATAGCTACCATGGGTATTACAGGGAGTAAGTCGTTATTTTGATCCCAAAGTCACTTCAGTAGACTATATTTTTACAAACTAAGGGAAGGCTTCAGTTTGATTTAACTGCTCATTTAAAGCAAGGTTTACCAATCGCTGCTAGAGCCATCATATGAGCAAGTTTGGAGCCTTTTCCATCCGTTTTTACAATATTTTACCCATCTAATCATAAAATATTGCAGTTACAATGCATTGTCTTTAATTTTTACAACTTTACTGGTAGACATTTGAGCCCGCCTTATTGGTATTTTCTTTCTATAATCTCGTCTTAGGTTTACCTTCAACAGACGACTGATGCAAGGATGAGAGACTTTGAGGATCTTGCAAGGAAGCATACTGAGATAAGCACCCTTCTTTTAAATTTGGAAAAAGTTATAACTGGCAAGGCAGCAACCGGAAAGGAGCTGAAGATGTTGTACTTCTACGAGTACTGGGAGCGACGCTGCTTCGACACCGTTCATCAGGTTGGGCAATTTATTCGTTCAGCGTACTCACCATGCACACTGAGACTATTAATGGCATTTCCAGTCTTAACTGACTTTGACTTTGATAGATGGTGATTGGCAATCTAAGAAGATTTCTCGAATCCTTACAAATTCCGTCCAAACCACTGTTTGGAGTGAATTTAATGCTTTCTGGGTCCGAGGTTGTGAGTACACCACAGCCCGCGGAATTTTATCAACATCTAATTCAGGTAATATACTAAACTAGCTGTCAAGCATTATGGTGAACTTCCAAATTTTAACAGAGCAATGTTTTGTTTTTAGGAAAATTTTATATTCTGTCCGTTCGGTTGCTTAACCAAAATATCTCGATTTTTAAGCGACTTTTCGCCTTTTACCATTCTCTACTTTGAAGATGATGAATGGAATCCGAAAAAATACGTTTCATTTCTGTTATGTTTAGTCACACAGTTCTTTAAATCCCAAATATGCTTTTTGTGAAAATGCTTGTTCAGATTTTTTACACTGACCTGGCAAACCAGGTCAGCTCATTGAGTAAGTCCTAACCATCACTAGGTACATCACCACGGCCCATCCTGTGTGTTGCTGTGTTTAGGTTAAAAATCCCCACAATGCTATACCCAGTCTGCGTTTGGTTCAGTTGACCGTTTGTTATTTTGCCTTCGTGGTTTTTTTTGCATCCCATTTAGTCGATTTGGTATTTTCTGATGTTTTTCTTGTTTGGAATTTTTCAATTGGATAGACGATACAATTTACCTTGTGAAATCCTAAATTTTCTGATCATGTAATGAAGGTTATATTTACTTGATCTTTTTAAAATCGTAAAATATGTTCGAGCCATGCCTCATCCAGTTTTGAGCTAAGGTTCTTACCAACCACTTCAGTTCATGTCAGTGGTTCTTGCATAATAAAGAATGGAGAGCGGGTATATATTCACTAAACTTTGTGTTTTAATTACAAAATTTAAGATATAGTGGTTGTAGAAGTCCAAGAAAGGTTTCCTGTCCTTCGGTTCAGATGGCTCTGCATAAAAGCGAGTTCGTAATTTTGATCAGTTCAAACATGATAATATGAAGTAGGGATAATTGACACTTGTTGTGGAACTCGTAAAGGCGCCACGTATGAATAGAAAACCGCATAATTTACTTCATAGTAAATGTTTTTTGGCTGCTACCTGATACAAGAATTTACACAATTATTCCGTCACTTAGTTTATCTGCAGGATGAAGATAGGGAGTCTCACGGGCTAGGATAAAGCTGCATTTGAGCTCTGTAACTTTTGCTTCGTCAAGAATGCCGATAACAACATTTGGTTGATTGGAGTCTGGTAAAGTCGAGCATTCATCCTCGAAAGCGAGAGTCGAATGTTAACCTCTGTATCTAGTTATTATCGACTAAGACATGGAATCTGCGTGTTTTTTAGACGGTTGAGCCAGAATTGAGAGGATTGCGAATGATATGAAACATGCATAAAAATGAAGTAATAGCAACAAGTAAGCCAAAAAGCTTGGCTCATTAAGAGTTTGCTACCAATAAAAATGCTTTTGGCCTTTCCTACCATATGAGCAGCTGAGGTTCAGAAGGTAACTGTGCTTATTTGCTCATATTTTAAGGTCGAAAATTCCAATTTAGCTATCGCAAACGTTTTAAAATTTTATGATCTCACCCCCTTTCGTCGTTGTCAAATTATTCAGTAGTTGTTCATAAGGCGAAGAGATGCAGAAACTTTGCGGTATGTTGACTCAGACACAAAGGTCTCGACAACTAGCTTGAAACACCTAGTCAATTTGAAAACCTCCGTTCCGCATCGCTCTCAGATGATATCATTTTAAGATAACTTAGGCTTTTTCTCACCTCCTTTTGGGAAATGAGTTTTATTGTATTTTGGCATTTTTCACCCCAGATCGTAGGAAGAAGAACTCCGCAAATTAAAAAGTGGTAGTATAAAAGGTTTGCCATTGTATTCAATTTTTCCCTTTTCGTTACCGCGAATAAATTGAGTTGGGGCATTCCGGAGAAGTTACCAAAAAGGCATTATTCACAATCTAGCGATAAATGACTTTAACACAAGTAGTACTGGGTTAAGCCGAGGTTGTTTTTAACTTGTAAATTACACGGAAACACTATTCAATAGCCTAATTTTCCCCAGTTCATTCATAGCTGTATCCACTTTGGCAATCGAAAGGACGAACGGTGCCTTCGATTAAGGATTTGAGTATTGTGGTGTCTCAGCAAGCCCAGGCATTATCAGGGTGAAAGGATTTGGTGCGACTAATTTGGGAGTGCTAACTTGATGCGCAATTCGTATTTAAAGTCGTTTGTGGATAGATAAGTCACAAAGGATCCAAGGTCCACCGCAACCACTCTGCCAGTTCGACAATGACTGACAGTGTGATTCACAGTCAACTCAACTCAAACAGCAGTATTTTGCTGTACAGCCATAAAAACGAAATCCTTAATCCTATTCAATGAGTCACCTTGGATAAAAAGACGCCTGTTTATAAGGATCGCCAGTAATAGCTCCACCTAGACAGACGTCATCAGGACCAACATTGTATGCGTGGAATTTATATCGCCCAGTATATTACGAGCTTAATTTCCTGTAGTCTTAAAAAACAAAAATTTGGGTTTTTACTCCAGAATATTGGCTTTGAATAATTTGTGCAGTTATTTGCTTTGAAACAAAAAGCAATTGTAAAGAGAACAAGACCCAAAAAATATGGACCTCATTTACTTTTCCCAACTCCATTGTTTTTGCATCGTTCCATGAAGGACAGCCTTGTAATGCTTGCTTTTAGAATCTGCTCATTTTATTCTTTACTTAAGGCAAAAAGCATGGTGGACAAAGGGGAAAACCACTTCATCCAACGTTATTTACTGTGAACTTAAGTGAAAAACAAGCATATAACAGTTGTTTAAACAAA